GGAGGGGAAGCTGGCTGGCGAGGTGGGGCTGGGCATGAGAGTCGGCTGGGGGGTGCAGCCCTGCGGTGGGGCCCCAGAGATTGGGGGCGTAGGCCCCATGTGACATTTGTCTCAAGCAGCAGCCCTCACCCCGACCCAGCTCCTACATGGAGGTGCTGGCAGGGGGTTCTGCACTTTTCCTGCTCAGCAGGCATGGCCTCCACAGCTTCCGCTGGTCATATTCCCAGCAAACAGGAGCTGTAGGGGCAGTACTTGGGCCAGAGCGGCACATGGAGCCATCTAAGTAAAAGCCGAAGGGGGGATATGCTGCTGCTTGTGGGAGCCACAGCACACTTGCAGCAGGGCAAGCCCCTGACCCCTCTCTCTCTCTGCCGGAGCTCAAGGGCCAGCTGCTACTGCTCATTGTACAGAGCGTATTGCCCTTGTAAAATGTGTAGGGCTTTCCCCAACTTCCGTTGATGCTCACAAAATCCCTCTGTAATACCAATCCTAAGTATTCATGTGTCAAGCACCTGCAAAAGGAGATTTAATTTTTTTGAAGTTTTCTGTTTTGCTGTTTTAGTCTTGCACTCTGCAAGCAGGAGGGCTAGACATATTTTTCCTTACTGACAATTGAGGGTCACAATCACAGAGCTCCAGAAGCTGGGGCTTTAAAGAAAATATTGTGAAATTAGTAATGAATCACAAGAGTTAGCAGCCCAGCACTTCTACATAGATTAATATCCAAGCTCCCTGAATTGTACAGCCTTCTTGGGGCAGTTTACAAATTATGGCACAACAATAATTCTTAAATCCTGGGTTCTATTAAGACTCTTCCACTGGCCATCTCTCTCTTCTGTGGTAACTGGTTCACAGGGATATTAGGAAAATTAATCTCTATCAAGACATTAGTTAAATCATTTTGGTCTCAAAACTTCATTGTAAATGGAGATCTTGCTGGTGCCCAGTTTGCAGTCAACCTCCTGAAACTCAGCAACATTCCGTCTATTTCACTATGAACATTAACTACAAGTTCTTATAAGCAGCTTCCGCTAACGTATCATTTTAAAAACTGGTTAGTCTGTTCTTCTCATACCACCATCTACATGTTTTGTTAGTCTCTAAACTGCTGCAAAACTATTTGTTGTTTAAGTTTTTCCAGTTACAAACTAAATTGGCACCTAGCTATATCTTTCCCTGAAAAAATGTCTCTACAGGTTGTTAGCAGCACGAAAGGAGTCAGAGAAAGTGTAGGAATCCTTGATGAATGAGGAAGACAACTTAGTGATAGATGATGTAGAAAAAGCTGAAGTACTCAATGCTTTATTTTCCTTTGTCCTCACAGACAAGGTCAGCTCACAGACTGCTGCACTGAGCAGTACAGTAATGGGGAGGAAGGGGCAGCCTTCAGTAGTAAAAGAACAAGATAAGGACCATTTAAAACAAATCATATGCTCAGTCTATGGGGCAGTATCTAATGCATCTGAGGGAGTTGGCCATTATCCCTGAAAACTTACGGCTACTGGGGGAAGTCCCAGATGACCAAAAAAGGCAAATGCAGTGCCCATCTTTTAAAGAGGCAGAGGAGAATCCAAGGAACTACAGACTGGTAAGCCTCAATTCAGTCCCTGGGAAAATCATGGTGCAGGTGCTCAAGGAATCCATTTTGAAAAACTTGGGAGAGGAAGGTGATCTGTAACAGTCAATCTGAATTCCTGTCAGACCAAGCCTGACTAATTGCCTTCTATGATGAGATAACTGGTTCTGCAGATATGAGGAAAGTGGTGGACTGATATACTTTGACATTAGCAATGCTTTTGATATGGCCTCATCTTGCCAGAAGGTTAAAAAAATACAGCTCGGATGAATGGACTATATTGTGGATAGAAATATGGCTAGATTGTTAGGCTCAACATCTAATTGGCAGCCAGTATCAAGCAGAGTGCCCCAAGGGATAGTCCTAAGGCCATTAATGATCTGGACGAGGGGATGGATTGCACCCTCAGCAAGTTCACGGATAACACTAAGATGGTGGGGAGAGGTAGATATGCTAGAAGGCAGGGAGACAGTCCAGAGTCGCCCAGACAAATTGGAGGATTGGGCCAAAAGAAATCTGATAAGAGTCAACAAGGACAAGTGTAGAGTCCCACACTCAAGATAGAAATTCCAATGCAATGATACCAGCTGGGGACAGATGGGCTAAGCAGCAATACTGCAGAAAAGGACCTAGGGACTGCAGTGGACAAGAAGCTTAGATGCATCAACAGCGCACTCTTGTTGCCAAGAAGGCAAATGGCATATTGGGTTCATTAGTAGGAACATTGCCAGTAGATCTAGGGAAGTGATCATTCCCCTTTATTCCGCATTGGTGAGGCCACATCAGAAGTTTTGCATCCAGGTGACTTTTTGCTCTCCCTATTATATGTGCAATTTCATATCACATTTAACTCTCAAATAATAGCTTGTTGTACAAACTAGAGATGAGATCTTGCAGTTTGATGTTAGAAGTGGTATCACATATTACTACTAGCAGGTAAATGTTTTCCCCAAAATACACTAGGAAGCATATTTCCAAATGTTAACCATAATTTCTAGTCCTAGTAAATGTCTTACGTTGAGGATAAAAAGCATCATGGGATACAGGTTACACATTTGGTGATTAGCTTGGCTTCTGTTTTTTGTTTTGTAAACTGCTGGGTGATCTGATTGCTCTTGTTTCATTTTGTCAGGGCTTCTAGAACAGAGAAGCAGGAAGGAACTTTATTGATGCACAAATAAAAAAGGCTCAAAGAGATGAATAACTAAAAGTTAGTAGAAAAGGCAAGATGTCACTACAGGCAAAATAGAAGAAAGTGAAGCACCAGGTGTCTGAGAAAGGATGTCACAAAAATGCAAGTCCATCCAGCAGATGGAGCAGCTACAAACAATGAGACAGGAATTCAAGAGATTAGTTCAGGTTGTGCAGGAAAACGTATCAGGTTCCTTATCCCAGTACAGGTTACAGGGTGGGTTTAGTGCAAAAGGAGCCTGGAAAAGGGTGACAAGGGAATAAATATAACAGCTTTGAGAGAAGTTGTATCAGACAGACTTTCCATGGAAACCGGAGACTGCATGGGTTAAGAATGAAGGTATTCTCAGAAGGCTATTACTGCTATTCCTATTACTTGTTGAAGCATTTTTTTTAATCAATTGCTCTTCTTTCACTCTTAGAAACAAGTGTGTGATGGGAGAGCTGGTCGTATTTTCCTGCCCAGATCATAGCTTAACCACAGTACTATGCAAAATTTCTTTTAAAAATTAAAAAAAAAATCTAACTTGAATATGACAGATACAAACCCGAAGCAAATGTGCTGCTTACTCTAACTAGAAGAGAGTCCCTCTGAGCAGATGGATGGAGAGTGCTACAGTATTATTCTGATTCCAGAAAGTTAAATGGGGTCTAAAGCCCACTGCTTTCCAACAGCTGCATTAATTTGGGCTGCTATGTCAGTTAAAGAAGAGATTTCTTCTGACAAATCCAGGAGCAAGATACAAAAGTTATCAGGAAACTTTTATTGCAAACATTTTTTAAAAATAAAACAGCCTTCTTACAAGTTTGCAGCCACTTTTATAGCCATCAAAACTGAAGATATCTGATAAAACTGAATGCACAACTTGAGCTTCTAATTTTTACCTTACATGAAATAAAGTTTATAGACAAGTTTTATAGCAGAAAAAAAAATGTAGAAAAGTGATGCCTGCCATTTGTAACTGCAGCTAGACTCAAGACTACTGATAATATAACTCCAGGTTCATGCCATCATGGATTTCATCTGGAAGGAATGAGTTAAGGGGAATTCCACAGGAAATGCTCAAACGGTAGGTGACATTAGGTTTCTCCCTGGTCAATAATTCAAAATAAATTACAACAGCAAGTTTATTCTTTGATACATTAGACAAATTCTCACATAATTCTCCTTCCCACTTTGTGTGTTTCTATCGCAAATTGATAAAATAAATTGCTAGTGTCATGCAAGGGAACATGGGTCATATGCAATACTGGAAGCTTCAATACCATAACTCAGCAAATGAGTCCCATGTCACAGGCTACCCACTCAATTTAGTAAGGGACTTTTTCCCAGAGGTCCACCAGTTATCTTATGGTAGCCTACCAATACCATCAGTCACTAGTACCCAAAGAGACAAATGAGACCTTTGGTTTATAACAAGCAACTACGTCAGATTAGGAAGTGTCTCTGTTTAGCTATGTATTTATAATATGTCCATCACTCCACTTCATAGGTTGTGGATCTTTTAAGTGACTAGAAGAACTACCCTGAATTGCTCAGGTCCTTTATTAATTTTTGGTATCTTTGGAAAACCAAGTTCTTCTGCCTCCTGTGCTTCCCAGGCAGCAAGAGAAAGTGCACAATGCTCCCTTACGAATTGGGGAAGATCTTCAGCCCCCCTCCCCTTACCAAAGGGTGCCTGGAAGATGGGAGGCTCAAGACTAGTAAAGTCCTTGACACAGGGTAGGGAGGGGCTGGGCCTGTGTACGCATGTACCTCCAGCCAGCCCCTTCACCAGGCAGGTGAATTCAGTCTCTCTTTTCTTGTTTCATTTTGTCAGGGCTTCTAGAACAGAGAAGCAGGAAGGAACTTTATTGATGCACAAATAAAAAAGGCTCAAAGAGATGAATAACTAAAAGTTAGTAGAAAAGGCAAGATGTCACTACAGGCAAAATAGAAGAAAGTGAAGCACCAGGTGTCTGAGAAAGGATGTCACAAAAATGCAAGTCCATCCAGCAGATGGAGCAGCTACAAACAATGAGACAGGAATTCAAGAGATTAGTTCAGGTTGTGCAGGAAAACGTATCAGGTTCCTTATCCCAGTACAGGTTACAGGGTGGGTTTAGTGCAAAAGGAGCCTGGAAAAGGGTGACAAGGGAATAAATATAACAGCTTTGAGAGAAGTTGTATCAGACAGACTTTCCATGGAAACCGGAGACTGCATGGGTTAAGAATGAAGGTATTCTCAGAAGGCTATTACTGCTATTCCTATTACTTGTTGAAGCATTTTTTTTAATCAATTGCTCTTCTTTCACTCTTAGAAACAAGTGTGTGATGGGAGAGCTGGTCGTATTTTCCTGCCCAGATCATAGCTTAACCACAGTACTATGCAAAATTTCTTTTAAAAATTAAAAAAAAAATCTAACTTGAATATGACAGATACAAACCCGAAGCAAATGTGCTGCTTACTCTAACTAGAAGAGAGTCCCTCTGAGCAGATGGATGGAGAGTGCTACAGTATTATTCTGATTCCAGAAAGTTAAATGGGGTCTAAAGCCCACTGCTTTCCAACAGCTGCATTAATTTGGGCTGCTATGTCAGTTAAAGAAGAGATTTCTTCTGACAAATCCAGGAGCAAGATACAAAAGTTATCAGGAAACTTTTATTGCAAACATTTTTTAAAAATAAAACAGCCTTCTTACAAGTTTGCAGCCACTTTTATAGCCATCAAAACTGAAGATATCTGATAAAACTGAATGCACAACTTGAGCTTCTAATTTTTACCTTACATGAAATAAAGTTTATAGACAAGTTTTATAGCAGAAAAAAAAATGTAGAAAAGTGATGCCTGCCATTTGTAACTGCAGCTAGACTCAAGACTACTGATAATATAACTCCAGGTTCATGCCATCATGGATTTCATCTGGAAGGAATGAGTTAAGGGGAATTCCACAGGAAATGCTCAAACGGTAGGTGACATTAGGTTTCTCCCTGGTCAATAATTCAAAATAAATTACAACAGCAAGTTTATTCTTTGATACATTAGACAAATTCTCACATAATTCTCCTTCCCACTTTGTGTGTTTCTATCGCAAATTGATAAAATAAATTGCTAGTGTCATGCAAGGGAACATGGGTCATATGCAATACTGGAAGCTTCAATACCATAACTCAGCAAATGAGTCCCATGTCACAGGCTACCCACTCAATTTAGTAAGGGACTTTTTCCCAGAGGTCCACCAGTTATCTTATGGTAGCCTACCAATACCATCAGTCACTAGTACCCAAAGAGACAAATGAGACCTTTGGTTTATAACAAGCAACTACGTCAGATTAGGAAGTGTCTCTGTTTAGCTATGTATTTATAATATGTCCATCACTCCACTTCATAGGTTGTGGATCTTTTAAGTGACTAGAAGAACTACCCTGAATTGCTCAGGTCCTTTATTAATTTTTGGTATCTTTGGAAAACCAAGTTCTTCTGCCTCCTGTGCTTCCCAGGCAGCAAGAGAAAGTGCACAATGCTCCCTTACGAATTGGGGAAGATCTTCAGCCCCCCTCCCCTTACCAAAGGGTGCCTGGAAGATGGGAGGCTCAAGACTAGTAAAGTCCTTGACACAGGGTAGGGAGGGGCTGGGCCTGTGTACGCATGTACCTCCAGCCAGCCCCTTCACCAGGCAGGTGAATTCAGTCTCTCTTTTGTATGGTTTTATGAGAGACAATCCCATCCCTGGCACAACCCTATTTCCTGGCACAACCAAACCCTGACCTTGGTTTGAGCTATGATAAGAGGAAGCTATATACCAAACTGGTGCTCCTAGCTCTTGAACGGACAGACTGATTTATAACCAGACAAACTGAAACATATGGCAGATAAAGAACACAACCGTTATTTTAATTAGACAAAGGCTTTCCCCAAAAGCTGCAGTTTACACACACAAGTCTAATGTTCAAGGATACAGTCTCCCAGTGACACATGGTCTTTGAAGATTGTGTACCTGCACAAATGTGTCAAAAAGAAAGTTAGTCAAGAATAAAAGTGTAATACAAGAACAAAAGAAAGTATAGTCAATAGTAATGGAATAATTAGGATAGTATCCAGAGTCTTGCTGTTATCAGTTACAATAGAAAATCATAGAGGCAATGCTTTAACAGATGCCAATCACAGGTTCTGCGGGGAGAAGGATGACACTGCCAACGTGCAGTTACAATGTGACTTGTATAGTAATTTCACACATATTGAAGTTAGAACCACCATACTAGGTCAGACCAAAGATCCATCTAGCTCAGTATCTTGTCTTCTGACAATGAACAATGGCAGGTACTTCAGAGAGAATGAAGAGAACAGGTAACAATGAAGTGTTAGAGGAACAGTAAAAAATTATGTAAAAAGACAGAGAATCAAACAAAAATTCTGAATTGAATGTCACTGCTGGTGAGAGTATGAAGGAAAACTAACTATCGTTTCTGGAATAATTTGTAGTTATGTACACTTTTATTTTATAAGGCTGCTGCCCTTCCTTTGAGAATTTAAGTGAAAGATTTATCAGTGGAGCTCCCAAGAACACTGAACAATAGAACAGGGAAGGTACAGAATGTGAAACGTCTGAGAATTAAATTCAGAACCTAAAAGGAAATCTTAAATGAATACATACTGGAAGTCTGCAGCTACATGCCATCACCATTTCCCCTTCGCTGCTGCAGGTCCTTGGGATGCAGTGCCCCAGCCTTCATTACCTCAAATGCAGCTACGTTGCAGTATATGTGGTGGGACGGGTGTGGACTGTAGCTGAAGGCCATATCAGTCATCCACATATAGGGAAGCGTACAGAACTCAGTTTACCTGCCTTGGGAGACTTTCCATGGGGCTGAAACTATTGCACCACTGAGTCCAACTACATCGAGCCTGATGCGCCTGAGAACTGCTAAGCCACTTTCCTTCCTTTGCCTCTGCATTTCACCCACTTACCATTTCTTCAGCACGATTTTGTCCCACCGGGTGCCAGTTTGCGCTGCAATGAGTTTCTTTAGGTCGCCAATCGTGTCCTCAGTGCTGAGTGACTGGGTTAAGGAAACTACATTCACACCCACGGAACAAGCCCCCGGAGAGAGCAGGAGTGGCTGGGCCAGAACCCCTCCCGAATTTGCCTCTGCATTTCACCCACTTACCATTTCTTCAGCACGATTTTGTCCCACCGGGTGCCAGTTTGCGCTGCAATGAGTTTCTTTAGGTCGCCAATCGTGTCCTCAGTGCTGAGTGACTGGGTTAAGGAAACTACATTCACACCCACGGAACAAGCCCCCGGAGAGAGCAGGAGTGGCTGGGCCAGAACCCCTCCCGAAGGAGCGAGACGTTTATGGTCGCCTTGCCCGGGGGCGGGGTCCCAGACTCCCACCACCCCGGGGCCCTCCCCGCGGGCCGCCCCTCACTCCAGGCCGGATACTTGCACTTGACTCGCACCTTCTTGCCCAGCCGGTCGTTGCCGACAACCTCGATCATCCT